TGTTTATAAAAATAAATAATTCATTTATTAAGTAATTGTTTATAATAATAAATAAATAATTATCTATTTATTGTTTATAAAAATCGTCATTATCATGGTTAATGCATGGCTGAGTTTAGGTAGTTTCCTTTTTTTGTAAAAAAAAAAAATGGCTTTTTGAGGCAAGCAAAATTTTAATGTTCACCATTTATGGCATAAACCCAGCCAAGTCAAGATTGCATCAATTATTTTGCAACTTAACAACTTTGTAAGCTGTGCATTTGACTCTACTAGTGCAGAAAAAAAACATACTGGATGTACTACCAGATTCCTTTGTTCTTCATATTCAGCATGAGCAGAGAAGTGACTGTTTATGAAGCAGAAGCTTTGTCCATAAAGAGTAAAACGTAATGATACTGCTCCTTTGGTGCCCTACTTGTACAAAGGAAACAATGTGACAAAAATACATTAAGAGGACTTAACAGTGTATGCTAAAATAACATTAATGGCTTCACCTGTTCAAAACTAGCTACATAACTGGTAATCACAGATTAATAAGAAAGGGTTGTCCAGAAATTCAGGAGAAGAAGGGGGAAATTTTTAAGTAGGCAGGGCGCAAAGAAAGTCAGTTTTACAGCTTGCCATTCGGGCTAGCTGTAGCTAGCATGTACTAGCCCAAACATCACTTTAACTAGCCTTAAAAGCTTTTTGATGAGGCGGTTTGAATACACAGTCCTTCTGTAATTTGAATTCCCAAAACACTTCACTTGCCCATCGGGCAAACTAAGAACAAAAGTGACTAGCCCGATAGCAAAATCCTCTAGCTCCAGGCTATTGGACAGTACTTTCTTTGCATGCTGGTAGGTGAAAATAGATTAGACGTAAGGGCGCTCAAGAGGGCTTCCTAAAGAAAAAATTAAAATTAGAGGGCCCTGAAGAACGCAATTCAGTAAATTTTGAGTGACCAGGAAAAGACGGTAAGCAATAAGAGTGGCATCTTTATTAACCCTCATTTGATTTACTTTATATTATATTGCTTAAGTTTATCCAATAAAGGGTTGAGAAACCACAGATGTCTTATGCCATTTAACGAAATTGTATTCTGTGAATAGCTGGCACAACTCTACCCACTAGATTGCTTGCTGGAGCTTTGGGAGAACCCTGATAAAGTGTGGCCGAGATTCTAATGGGTTTGTGACATCATGTGGTTTTTGATGCATTAGAGAACTTGTGTGTTCTATTACTGTTATATAATGATTTTTGAGGCAAATGGAGACCATTTGACTGTGCAATGTTGCATGCTTTAAAAAAATATTTCAGTCTACTAGGCTATAAAACATGTGTTTTGAAGACATTATTATGTTTAGAATGACATGAGTTCTGTCTTGACTTGTAGTTACAAGAACCAGTCAGCATGCAAAGAAAGTACTGTCCGATAGCCCGGGGCTAGTGGATTGTGCTATCGGGCTAGTGAATTCTGTTTTTAACTTGCCTGACGGGCAACTGATGTTTTATGAGGAATTTGAATAACAGAAGAACAAAAAGTTTTTGGGGCTGGCTGAAATGACATGTGTAAATGCTAGCTTCAGCTTGCCCGAATGGCAAGCTGTAAAAATGATTTTCTTTGCACCCTACCAGTACTAAAAAAAATGGATAAGAAAGGAACTCAGTTGACTTAATTGCAGCATTTTTAAAACAACTGAACTTCATTGTTTACCAACAGTCCAAGTAGAGCTGTTTTGCAGTAACCAGGCCGAATGTCACGAACATAAGGCAGATGTCTTGTGTGAACGGCTACCAAATGTACCATCCCCAGCATTCGGATTGACTTCAACTGCAATCAAACATATGTTAGATGCTGTCATGTATAAAAATCATTTTTCCTAGTTGAATATCTTTTTTGTGCAGGACATGGTGAGAAATAATGAATGGGCTATTTATCCACCTGCAAAAAGGAGCCTGGAATTTGCGGGAATTCTGGGGTAAAATTCCTGGCTATCCGGGCTTTTTTGTACATGCAGAAAAGCCAGGAAAAAGCCGGGAAAAGCCAGGAGTGGCTGGGCTCTGGAAAAGCCTGGAAAGCCAAGAGAACATTTTCCACGCTTTCCAGGCTTTTTCTTATATGCAAAAAAGCCTGGAAAGGCCAAGAAAGCCAGGAGCTCTGATCTTTTCGTGGCTCTCTGGGCTTTTCCGGTTTTTTTTTTGGAAGGGGCCAGGACAGTTAGTTTTCCTTGATTTAATACTGATTAATATTTGCTTTATAATCAAATATTTTATTGTAATGCGCAGTAAACTTGTACTGTTTTCAGTGAGAGAAAAAAGTAAGAAAACTACCACTCACTTTTCAGACATTGATAATAATGTCATCATTAGAATTCAAGTATCAAATTTAACTCTGTCATAGTGGAAAATGGCGTTTAACTTTAGGCCACTTAATGTACCAAGTGATACACTGTACCTTGACTAGGCCATATGCTCCAAGATATGCCTGTAGGATTTTCACCCATGAGTTTTCCTTTATATATTCAATTAACAATGACTGTGGTTTGGCATCAACTTCCTGTAGACTTAAAGATTAAATAAACTAACAAATTAACTTCATATAAATAATATATAAGATAAAAAGGAAAAAAATAAAATAAGTCCATATACACATTCATAATGGTAGCACTCAACTGAAATTATGTGAAATAATAATTATTTCACATAATTTCAGTTGAGTGCTACCATTATGAATGTGTATATTGACTTATTTTATTCAAAGCAAATTTTTCTTTCTTTTCATTGGCTGAGAGCCCACCATGTGACCTGCAAATAACTGCCTACAAATAATGGTCTGCTCATGTGCAATGCTGTCCAACTGTGTTTGGCTACAAACAATATTGTGCACATGTGTAATGGAAACCGTGCTTTTCTCCTTCTTGCGATCGCTCTTGCGTAAAATGGCAGATCGCTTCGCTTCCCGAGAATATTCATTAAAAAAACAAACTCGGTGATCGAATCATAAAACAATTATTGAACTCGGTTATTGCAAAATATCATGATTTGTCATTGTCTTGCAGATCAATTATTTGCTTGCCACAGACAAATCATGACACTTTGCTCAACCTCATCCAATAATAATATTGTTCCTTCTTTGCTGATTTCACAACAGCAATATCCTCGTGACTATAGCCCCTTTAATTGTCAAGATAACAGTTGCCAGCAATCAAGACATATGTGATTAAGTACATGGGTCTAAGAACCTACCCTACAGCAACAATGTCAGGGAGTTCTTGATCATTGTCAAGATGCAACAAAGGTCTGAAGTCTTGATCTGGGGGCTGTGTGACTTTGACATTCCATGTGCACACATGAACTCTAAAACCAATAGGTAACAATATTAGTGAGCTTTAAACACAAATAACAAACTTGGTGAAAATTTCAATATGCATGCAGTCAACTTAATGTTTTTGAAAATATTCTTGATATCAAATGAAACTAAAAATGGAAACAAAATTAACTCCCCACTTCCTATGAATAAAAACACATTTTAAACTATAGTGCATGTAATTGTGGCAGTTATAACGGTACAGCTATCTTTAATATGATTGTAGTTAACAAGATGAATTTACCCAGTAAATTATGATCAAGGTGGCCTTGTTTATTAGGTGATCATTCAATACAAATGCCTTCATTTGATACAGTGTTTAAAGAGGTAAAATTCCACATGGGTATACGTACAATATTATTATTATTTACATGTGTTATTTTCTTTTTTATGAGTCATGTATTTTAGCTTGTTGATCCTAACAGAAGCAAACAATAGCAGCAGGTTTTGAGATAAGGGATGGGTCTCGGGTCAATGACCCGATAAAGAAGGCTTCCTGACCCGACAGATAAAATACAAAATAATGTTAATAAGTGAAAATAATATGATGAAAAAATTAGCACCTGGTCTGGGTGACCCCTCAGATGGTCTACACGACCCCCTGCATGAAAGAATTAACTGGAAATTATGCTGAAGCAGGGTTACATGTCCTTGCTTGTTATTGACCACTTTTTGTTGGTCAAGATGGCTAGATATTAGCCAAGTCCTTTTTATGTGTTGTTATGGCCCAGCCTGTTCGCCAATCCAAACACACGATTCACTTTATCCTGCCCACTCACAGATTCAACAGTATTATATAATTATGTTACAGGTCAAAATTAGACTCAGGTTAAAATCTTTCAACCTAGGTTGATTCTCATTTTTCCTTTGTCTCCTAGTCCTAATTCATGAATAACAAGACCCCCATAGTGAGGTTCCTTAGGCTGCTGACTGTGCGATGCAGTGTTTAACATTTTGAGACATATAGATCATGATTACACTTTTTTTCTGGGTTGAGTATGTAGCTACTGCTAATTCTAACCAGTGGAATGGGACAGAGATATATATACTAAGCCTTTTGAAACAGAGACAATTTGCATTATTTTTAACTGGGACATTTCCATGAGGCCCCTCTCCCCCAATCTCTCTGCCTCCAAAATATAGCATGACAGTATAATACGACTACAGCCAACTCTCTCACGTAAGCGACCACCTCCAATAAGTGACCACTTTATAAAATAATAACCCTTTTGTTTCTCGGTCAAAGACTGTTTCAAAAACTATCTCGTAAGCGACTACTACTTAAATTTCTTAGTGACCGAAACTACTTTTTAAACCAGAAACTTGACATACTTTTTTGTTTTTCTGTTTCCTGTAAGCGACCACCTGGCATGATCAAGTATGACTGTAACAAAACTATTGCTTGAATATATTTCACAAAAGTTCAGTTTTTGATAGCACTGACCAAGCCTGCTGACAGATTATAGCAATTGACTTACAAAAATGATAGCTGTAATACAATCTGTGGGTAAAAAATTGGGTTGTAACATTGATGCAAAATGTAATGTACAAAGTTTCGACAGTTCCCAGCTCTATTTGATGTGAAATGTTATTGCCATTTGCCTATTTGCCGAACTTTTAGCTTTTAAGGTATCAACTTTATATTACAAATGTATGTTAATCAGTCCAGTTTGAGCTTATTTTCTTGATTTTCTTGTAGACGACCACCTCTCGTATTGTGTAAGCGACCACTTTGTCGTGCACCAAGGGTTGTCACTTATGCAATTTGATCTAACTGGAAATCCCAAAAATCGTTGTCGTTCCATACTTATAGAACTTGACAGGGTCAATTTTGGTGTTTTAAATACTATCATTATTCAACTTTCATACACTGTATGAATTCCAGTTTTCTGATTGGCTGATTTGTACTACGTGATACTGGGTTGTGACAAAACAACCACCTTGACGTGATTATCATGGTGTAAATTCAACACACCACTGTCATTGTGTAGTTCCAGAAAATATCCATACTCCTCCCATGGAAGGGATTGGAAAGTCCTTGGGGGTGGGGGGTTCTCAGAAGCCCAAAAATCTAAGTAAATGTATGAAGCTTGACTGGAATTTCCGGAGGGGTGGGGAAGTCTAAGGAAAAATCCCTTCCATGTGGAAGGTATGGATAATTTTTAAAAACAACACATTACACCATGGTTTTGGTTGACTCAAAGTTTGATGATTTGTCAGATGTTGACATTGGTTCTCTTATTGACGATGCAATTCCTAAAAACACCAAGAAAGCAACTGCTTGGGGAATATCTGTTTTGAAAGGTAAGTTTGCGAATTTTAAACTTTTCATTCATGCTAGTTGAGGTGTTTTTGTGCGTTATCAACAGTTTTACCAGCTTTGCGCATTGTATTCAATTTGAATAATAAAAATGTTAATGCACTCATTTCTCGTAAATTATCAGGATTTACCTACACTCGTTCCCTAACAATGAATTTGAAATTTTCAATACTCCACTAGGCGGTATTGAAATTTCTCGTTCATTGTTAGTGAACTCGTGCAGGTAAATTCCAATAATTCACTCGCTGAGTGCACTAAACTGTAATTAAATAACAGTAACTTTCTGTTCCTTAAAACTCGCAAAGCAAATTAAAGGTTCAAATTATTGAATAATTTTTTTTAAAAAAAGACTCCGACAATTTCCTATTTAAAGCGAAAAATTTAAAGTTCATATGTTTATTTATTAGTAAGAGGACATTTACATATACCATACGCAAATGCATTAAATTGTGCATCTTTTTTACAAACAATTTTAAGCTTGGCATGTCTACTTCCAGTGTAAGGTCTGTGAGAAAACGTAAGTGAAAATATAAACATTTGAAATATTGGCTTAGAAGAGAAGCATAATTTATGCATTGGGTTTAAGTTTTTGCTTGCAAGTATTACAGTGTTAGTGAAGCAAAAATATAGAAGTTTAAAATGAGATTCATCCTTTATTTTTAAGCTAAACAGCCCTATAAATAAGCTCATAGATGAAAATTTGGTATTGTACCTTCTCGATTTCGTGTCCATCGCCCTAGACCGGGCATCAACCAAATTAACTCGCAAAACAACCAAAGTCATATACTAATCAGATACATCTGCAAAAAGCTCTTTTTTAGCAATAAAAAGTAACATTAATCGCACCAGGAATAAAAAAAAAAAGCAGATTGTTCGAATTTAATTTGCGCTAAAAATAAAGCTTACACTTCTCCTCAGTGTAAGCATGAAACTCAAGGGGACTTCGTGAAAATGTTACGGTAAAAAAAAGCCTCACATATCAAAAGGCAGTTCTTTGTAAGTTTCTCCTTTCATTTTCATTAAAAACTGCACAATCGCGTCCGGAAAGACTGAACAACACCTTTTCATTCAAACTCGTCACATTGCACCAACAGTGCCACGTCGAGTTCACCGTCGCCTTAGCCTCCTAACCTACACATTTTCTCCATAACTTACCTCAAACTCATATCGCTTCTGCAGAGGGTAAAATTCAGTCACTTGCCGGTATCAAAACTGGTCCGATTGCAGGTAGCAAGTTTGCAGGTAACTCAAAAATATCGGCGATCGCTGTGCTGTTCAGCGAAAAGACAGCTGCAACATGTTTACCACTCATGGCATCTCACGCTGGTCAAAAACAACGAGGGCATTGCGTCTAGAGTGCCCCGTATAGTCTACCGCCCCGATAGAGGATTTGAGACGATCATCTTTTCTTTTTTAAATAGTCTTAAAAGGCTGCTTTTTTTGGGAGAATCCAAAGATGGATTTGTGGTCTCAGATCATATAAGGAGGTCATATGGATTCTTAACCACCAAAAAACGGAAGATCCGAAAAAGGATTAGACTGTGTCTGGGGGGGGGGGGGGGAG